GGCCACTGCACTCCAGTCTGGGCGATAGAGTGAGACTTCAACTCAAAAAAAAAAAGAAAATGACAGAGATGGGCCGGGCTTGGTGGCTCACCCTGTAGTCCCAGCGCTTTGGGAGGCCGAGGCGAGTGGATTGCCTGAGCCCACGGTTTCGAGATCAGCCCGAGTGACTTGGCAAGACCTCATCTCTACAATAAATAAATAAATAAGTTAGCTGGGCGTGGTAGCGCGCGCCTGTAGTTCCAGCTACTTGGAAGGCTGATCTAGAAGGATCGTCGGAGCCCCCCAGGTCGAGGCTGTGGTGGCTAGGAGGGTGCCACTGCACTCCAGTCTGGGTGACAGGTGAGACGCCAACTCAAAAAAAAAGAGAAAAAGAAAATGACAGAGATGAAGTAACTTTAGATCAAATGGCTAGGGAAAACCTTTCTGAGAAGATGATTTGTTTTGAGTTGGGGCTTCACTCTGTCTGAGATGTAGGGGCACGTTCACAGCTGACTGCAGGCTTGATTCCTGAGCTCAGGAGATCCTTCCACCTCAGCCTCCTGAGTAGCTGGGAATAGTGTATGCCACAATGCCCAGCTAATTTTTTTATTTTTTTTGTAAAGACAGAGTCTCACTATGTTGCCCAGGCTGGTCTCAAACTCCTGGGCTCAAGCAGTCCTCCCACCTCAACCTTCCAGAGTGTTGGAATTACAGGCATATGCCACCGTACCCAGCTAAGAAATGATATTTGACCAGAGGTATGACTGAAATGAGAAAGTAAGTCATGCTAATTTTTAAAGAAAGAATATTTAAGATAGAAGAAACAGCAAGGACAAAGTCTTGTGTTAGAAGAGCTGCAAGAAATGGCATGTTTGCTGCAGAATGAATAAGGAAAGGTAGATGAAGTAGGAGACGTAGCCAGAGCCAGATTGAATATGAACCATAGTAAATATACAAAAAATTATTAATAGTTAGTTAGGCATATAGGCATAGTAGTTAGTTATCACTGTGTAACAAACCACCCCAAAGCTCCGTGGTTAAAAACAATAACAATTTTCCAGGTTTTGGTTATTACAAATAAACCTGTTATGATCATTTGCAAACAAGTCTTTGCATGGACATACATATAAGCATACATACATACATTTCATTTCTCTTGGGTAAATATGCAGATGGATCATATGGAAGATATATGTATATGTTATATGACTGAAGTAAGTCCTCTACATACAGACCTTCAAGTTGTGAAC